CAGCAGGAGAGTGCATCTGTCTGGAATTTAGTAAGTTCTTGACTTTGTGAACAGAAAGGATCTACGTGAAGCTCGTAGTAGAGAGATGAAGGAAGATGTGAATAGGGAGGTTGGAAGGGCATAGGATCATTGACTTATTATTCTTATTTTTCTTCATTTTCCAAGTGACTTAGCCCAGGTGACGCAGGTAGGTAGAACAGGGCAAAAAGAAAACAGGGGTCTCCTGGGGCAGAACTCCTCTGCCCACGCTCCCTCCCTTCACTTTTCCCTGACGCCTTAGGTAAATGTTAACTAGGAAAAAGCCACCAGGGGTTTTTGTAAGTGATGTGGCGAGGCCCTGACCCCTGTGTGGAGTCAGAAGTGGCCTAACAGCTCTAGGTAAGAGTCCCTTTGTCACCCTGCTTGTTGACTTGATTCGTTAGGAATTTGTGTGTTCTAAGTCTGTCGTACACCTTATTGACTATAGACAGACTTTCACCTTCCCTCTTCTCGCCTCCTCACCTCTGCACTCTGCAACTCAGTCTTCTGGGTCCTCAGTCTTTTCCATCTTCTTCCTTCTGCCTATGGGAGCCCAAAGGCCCCTGGGTTTTGTCAGCATAGTGCTATCCGGGACAGAGAGAATCCTAGACCTGGGGTCAGCCCTTTCAGCCCAAGAGCCAGCTCCCGGCTGTGTGACCTTGGTCAAGTGGACGCGTCTCCTAGAATTAAGTCTATAAAACGGTGAAATTTCAGCCTGTAATAGTCCAGGTCTGTCGGAGCCTCAAAGCCGGGCATTGAGGTGACAGGGTGTCATGAGGTTCTGCACTTGCAAGACGGGCCGCTCTAGAACCTGTCCCCTCCAGGTCCTCGTGGGCCCTTATCCTCCTCACTTTCATCCCCTCTGCCGTCTCTGCAAACACCCGTCTGCATCCCCCCTGCCAGGATCAAATTCACAGCTTCCACCTTGCTGGCCAAACCCACTGTGCCATCTCTCTCCCTCCCTTCAGCACACTCCCCCAGCTGCCGCCTCATCACTCGCTCAGCCCTAAACTCCAACCGCTTTGGAACTGGCTCTCCAAAAAACTTGGGTGTCTTCCTACAGTCTTTTTTTTTTTGAGAGGTTTTTTTTTTTTTTCACTATAGGGCGCGTGCGCTCGCCAGACAGACAGAGAGAGACATAGAGACAGAAAGCGAGAAATCACCCCCCAGAGGGGATGGTCACGCCACAATCCCTTCTCCTCCATTCTCCTCTCGGGACCTTGGGCATGTACGCACACATGCCCGCCGTGAGTTTTAAGCCACCGGGTCCGGGACACGAACCGCGGTCGACTACGTGGGAGTCCAGCGACATAGCCATTACGCTAACTGCTGGTTCCCTCTTCCTACAGTCTTTATGATCAGGGACATGGGGAAATAAAAGCACTTTGTATCGGAATGGAAGGATCATGAGCAAATTCTCAATAAAAAATGGATTCTACTCATTTTTCTTTTTGTTAAGATGGCTTAACTGGAGCCAGCAGATGATGTAGTGGTTATGCTGCTAGATTCCCACATGGTAAACCATGGTTCGAGTCCTGGACCCAGTGGCTTGAAACTCATGCCAGGTACATGTGTGTGCCCAAGATCCCTAGAGGAGAAGGGATTGTAATATGGCTATTCCCCCTGGGGGGCTGATCTCTTGCTTTCCCTCTCACCATCCCCTCCCCACCCTCACCCCATCCACCTGTCCCCCCACCCAAGAGCATGTGCCATAAGGCAAAAACCTCTCTTTAAAAAAAGTTGTGCTGAGGCCAGCAGGTAGCATGGTGGTTAAGGACACTGGACTCTCACATGGCTGACTGTGGTTCGAGTCCCAGACCTGGCGGTTTGCTTTCTGTCTCTCTCTCTCTCTCTTGTTCTCGCTCTTACTCTGTCCCTCTCTAGTCAAATTAAAATAGATAAACGAATAAATAAAAAATTTAAAAAAGATTGTGTCACGAAGTTTTCCTGTTCATCTCACCCGGGTTGGAGCTGTGGTGGTCCTGCCTGGGAGCATCCCATTTACCCACTGGGGTGAGACAGCCCCCAAGAGGTGCTGCCTCTGGATCAGGGCAGCCAGCCATGGAAAACAATTGAAATGGGTTTCCCCAATGACAGTCTGTGCGTTGGATCCGCCAAAACAAGCGGCTCTAATTCCTCTGACCTCTAGGAGCAGCCTCTTCTGTGTGTGCCTCTCTTCTGCTTTGTGACTGGGGGTGCTGAGTGCAGGGAAGAGCAGTGCGGTGCAACGTTCCAACTGTGCTGGACAGCGCACCCACTCAGGAATTGGGAGGAGCAGATAGCAGGGCTGGGCTGACACCCCCCCTCCCCCAGGAACAGAACAAAGGCTCACCTTTGCAGAAATCTCCATGGATACTGATTCTCCTGCTCACAGCAACTCTCACCACACACACACACACACACACGCACACTCACACGCACACTCACACCCCAAACTCCTCCCCCAATCTGGAGGCTTCGCACTCCCTGGTGCCAT